CACTGCTGAAACGGTGGCCTGCGCCTTCTTCGAAAGATGGGTAACAAAAATCACTACAAATCGCGGAAGTCAGTTCGAATATGAACTTTTCCGTTGTCTGACCGCAAAATTAGAAATCACTCGCCTACCACCCACAAGCAAACGTGTTAGTAGAACGTTTTCACCGACAACTAAAAGCGTCACTATCAGTCTCAAACATTTCTCAGTAGACCGACGCTCTTCCACTCGTATTACTAGGTATACGCAATGCAGTGAAAGCTGACATTGGATACGACCCTTCGATTTCAAGGAGGATTCGTGGATCCTTCATCCTTTTCGATGAACATGAATCTAAGCTCCTACACGAACAGGATTACAAACGCAATGCGCTCAGTTAAACCTGTTTTCACTCGGTCGCAATCAACTGATGTTTTTGTTTAACCTGACTTATGATATAGTACATACGTCTTCGTACGTCGAGACTTACATAGACGACCCTTCGAATCAGCAAACGAAGGAATTTTCAAAGTTTTTTAACACGAACTCATGTACTATATAACCGAAAAGAACGGAACCAACGATAGCATCAGCGTCGATTGGCTCAAAGCAGCGCGTTTAGAAGGAAATCCTTTTCACGTTAATTTTCCTTCAGTATAATCGCACGACACGACTCCTGCACTTATAATATCTCAATCGACAGCCAACACACCTGATGATACTTCAGCGGTTTTGTCAAACGAAGATGCTATGAACATAAATCTTTCATTTAACTTTACGTTATCTAGACTGATTCCGTTCGTGTAACGACGGTAATACGAAGCTGAATATGGGTTGCGTAGGATTAATTTATTTCAAGGACTTGTTTAATCAGACAGGCAGACAGAGTTAGAAACGGAGCCGAAAAGGCGAGGGAGACAACTCATTTTGATAAAGTGTGAGTGAATATTTATGGCCATGTAAAAGTAAGCTCCAGACATTCAAAGAGTAGTGTTATATTATAGAGGTTATACTCCGCCTCTATAGTATTCCGTTAACTGATTATTTAAGTCAGGATAAATCTTGATGGAGTTATGTTGTGTTAGCTGAATGGCTAAATCTTCTGGTAGAGTTATTGATCTACTCGATTTACATCTAAGTTAGCTAAGGATAAAAAGTCGTTAAAATTAATGTACAACTTGATGCAATATGTAAGCGTTCAGTTGAAATGACAGCTTGTATGTGTTGTCACGCGGACTATATTTATCATGATTGTGCATCGAGAATTTAATCAAAGTTTTGTGATCAGTAAATAGTGTGAAAGAATTACCTTTTAAAACAAGATAGAAGAGTTTGACGGCTAAATAGACAGCTAACAGTTCCCTATCAAACGTGCTATATTTTGTTTGCGTCTCGTTTAGCCCATTTTGAGAAAAAATTAAAGGGGTTGCCATTGTTGATTGACTCGTTGCTGAAGTACAGCACCTACTGCTAGATTAGCGGCGTCGGTCATTACTGCTAAAGGTGCATCAACCTTTCATCGTACCTATAAAGCCTTGGTGCTTAAGTAGCTTTTCAACGTTTCAAATGCTTGAATTGCTTGCGTTGTCATTGCTAATGACAAAGTGCGTCCGCTTTTCAAATCAGTTTGCGCTTTCGCTATATCAGCACACCTCGGAATTAAAGGATGATGAAAGTTAATCATCCTAAGGAAACTTCGTAGTTCCTTGAGTGAATTGGGTCAAGGATAATTTTCGATGGCTTGTGTTTCCTCAGAAAGTGATTAAATACCTTAATTATCGAGTACGCATCGTGCAGTTTCATTTTGGGGTCATGTGTGTTTTTCTCAAGTGTAGTTTATTTATTCATTTGAACAAATTTATATTACTACGAAGGGACACCGAACACATATGCCCCGCACAAGTCACTTGATTTGCGTGTTGTCTATGATACTGCCTGTGTGCCCAAACCGAAGCAGGTGGTTTTCTTGGGAAGCCATACTAAGAGCTTTCTACCTAATGATCTGATCTACACGGCATTAAAGCAACATAAGAAGATGCAATTCCACGGTGGCCGATCCAATTATTGGTTCATACGCCATTTATTCCGTCTGTATCCTGGAGCTCATGTGCACCATTATTTCGGAATCAGAGTTTTCGAACTCCCCTGGGTAGGTCCTCTATATCCACCAACCCTGTCAAAAGGCCGGACATTCGCATTTCGTCCTCTTATTTTCGTAAAGAACGGCCCTCGTTTTCATTTTGCTTCTTCGCAGTAGTCTGCATCATGAGCAGTTCAGGAAACTTTATCTACTATTTCCTTTCTTGCTTACTAGTATTACTAGTTGCAGAAATCTGAGTAGAAGTATGACCCATATTACTTGGTTGGAAACATAGTTTTGATGTTTGAGTCGAGTGGTTCGTGATGTATACAATACTCTGAGGTTCTTTATCTCCCTTTGCTAGTCGTCTTGGTAGTATTAATGTAAGTACTAGCGTCAATGCTAATACTGTTTATGTTAGTCAAAAGAATAAAAATTAGGTGAGACACAGGATGTAGTAGGTGGTACTAGATTAACATCTGTCTCAGTGTCGACTGCGAACTCTGTTCCGGTTGTTTTGTCTAGGACATAACAAGCGACTGTCTTGAAAGTTGCGGCCGGCGACCGCACTAACCACTAGTCATCAGGCTCAACGTTTTCTTTCCTGTGTGCTTGAAAAGTGTCAGGGAGGAGCAAAAGTTTTAGCTTGTCTACCTTACGTTCCATGGTGGTATGTCTGGTGGTGCTTGGACTGCGACGTCTAAGGTTTCTGGACCTCCCTCTATACTTGTAGTGGTGGGTATTCAGAAAGTGGGGTTGGCTTGTCTATTTAGTGAGGATGTCGACTGTTTGTCGTAACTCGGCGATCTCATCAGTTTTGTTTGTCTGCATATGTGATACCCAGTAAGTCCTAATCTACTAAACCATTCCTCAAACCATCTGTCATGTGACGTTTCAATTGAGACGGTAATCTGCTACCTAGCCCTACATTGGCTAAAAGTTGAGATATGTAAAAGAAATAACCTCATTTTTTACGCAGTGGTACGGTCATTCTGGATCCTGCCTTGAAATGAAGTCAGGCACTTGATCAGTAACGTCGTCTTGCAGAAACGAGTTTGTGTAACTAAATTTCGTACTGTGACTTGTGGTTCTGATTGCAACTAAAAGCTATCTAAGCGTACAAACCTTAGATCAGCCTTTCGAAGTTTATAGACAGGCAAAAAGACTGAAATAGCACCCACGGAAAAAGACTTTGATGAAACGCTTGGTGAATTTCCAAGTGACATGTTGCGAAGAAAAAATTTCCGGTCACCGATTTTGTTGATGTTAACCTCCCCTTATTTCACTACAGTAAATACTATTCCTTTAAATGAGTAGTTCCGCGGGATTAATCGCTTGATAGAACTATAGATTTACTCGAGATTATTCAAAATCCGGAACACCAGTTATGGAGATAGTTTATTGGTAAAGATTGGTAAAACCCGAAATCGTGCAAGCAGCAAGCATATAGAGAAACGAGTGAGTGTGTGTCAATGTTGAAAACCCCTTTATATTTATGAGTGTTAATCAAGTATGGATAAATTATTGATTGTCTGTGTGTTACAGCCAATGAGAGAATAGATTAAAGATGGGTGTTCAGACAAGCGTCCAATGAGAGTCACACATAATTTTACACAGTGGATTAAACGTCTCAAATACGGTGAGTAGAAAAATAATTACGTAGTTGAATGGGCGGGATTACTACAATATTTTGATAAAGAATAAATGAATGGTAACTTTCAGGAATCATTTATGGATTATTATCATTATTAAATGCATTCCTGTTGGATAACTATAAAGCAACCATATTGTATGTATATTCATATTTCTTTTATTATAAGTTTCCACTTTACCTATTGACTAGTACTATGCGAATTACTATTCCAAACCTGTACCCAGGTTATCAGTTACAGTCTGTCGTACTCACGGCTACTTACGGTTTGATCTTGTGTGATTATTATCTTTCATTTTACGGTGTGATGCGGTCTGCTCTGCTTGTGTATACATCAAGTATGTCTGAAATACATGATTCATACGTTGAAAGCTCAGATTGTGTTGTGAACTCGAACGGACAGTCTAGGCGAAAAGGACACATAATCACTGTGGTTTGACTCTAGTCTGCTTGTACTGGTTAACGCGTCATAAGATAGGCACAGTGTCAAGGTTGTAAAGGTCGTTGTTCTGTTTGGCAATTAAGTCGCGTGATATTCGACGAGACATTGTGCACAAGAAATATGATAGGTAATGCACACACATGCGCTCATATGAAGACAGTCAAAGTGTTATTAAGTGACTGATTGAAAATGTCGAAATGTGACTGAATAAGAATGAATAAATTGGTCTGTTTGAGCGTCAGAATAGCTCATGTGTGCTTGACATGGTACCGGACTCTAAAAAGTACCTGTTTGAATAAACCGTTCATTTTTGTTTCATCTAAGTTACAATTATTCATTGCTTTTTCATACATATCAGAATTTCTAGCGTTTTTCATTCCGTGGCTCGTTTTGTTTTCCATTGATAACATTTTTGTAGTGATTCTCTTTTTCCCGAAAATTACGTAATAGGACATCTAACTGGTAAGTTAATGAGTTGTTTGTGCGTAATAATGAGCTAAATTATTTTCATTAGAATTTCAGTGGATTGGATTTTGAAGATTGTCTATTTCGGCAATGTGTCTCGTCTGTAGTTATCATTGCTTTAATGTTAGTTCACCAGTTGTGTTCCAACAATAATGTCTCAAACTATGCAATCGCTAGAACCAGGTTCACGAGGAACACTAGTATCTGAAGGATTACAGCTTACCATTGAGCACCAAACAGTACGAAACGTTGATTCTGAGTGTCCTGTTGAATAATTGCAACCATCAAACTGTAAAACATGCATTTGATTTTGAGTCACTTAAACCAATCGCTTTATAACACCTTCATTGATAATATTACATTCACTTGATCAAAGACATCCACCAATGGATACTTGTATACCACACATTTATCCAGTTTTTAAAGCCATACACATTACACTGCCACAACGTGTTATAAAGCATATTTTGTGAGTGGAAACACCTAATCAAATGACTATAATCTATGCTTAGATTTTGTTAACATGACATTTTACGCTTCTCAAGTTGGAAAAAACATGATAAAACACTCATTATTGCACAGTAAATTCGTAATGCTTTGCATTGTTGTCAGCATAAATACACTACAATGCTTATGATTTAAAAGTATCAATACTATCATTCATTCTGCTGGTAACCAGTTCAATGTTTATGATGATAACTAAGGACACAGAAGATTCATTCAAAATTATACTGACCAACGTGTATGATGATTATGTGCTGGAACATTGAATGCAGTTTAACATTTGTACTTTATGATTATACTTCTTATTAGGAATTAATTTTTCAACGTTTGCTTTATGTTCCTGCTAATCTTCAAAGTATATTTCAATAAAACTCGATGTTAATATACGGGTAGCTTAACAAGATCAGTCTCATTTGCATTAATCATATTATTGAGAGAGAAGTGAAGACCTTAAAAGAAACGCTTGTGAAGAACGATTATTCATTAAATTATATAAATCAATTGATAGGTAGCAATGGTTTGTGACCCATTACGTTTCAGCACCCAAAAGACGTACTTCTATCATCCTATCGTTCAAAGGTAAGTTAACTGGTCTTTATTTGAAATGAAGACTTGGATCAATGATGAGTAATACTTTTAATGCGACTCGACTCACGATTACTAAAAGGCGAAAGTTTTGTTTCGTCAAAAACAAACAACGCGTGTACCATTTAATTTGTCCTACAAATATTCTGCTGAATCTGTGTACGAGATGCTGGGGACCCCAGAGTATGTGTGAAAGCCATAGAGTCAAAACAGGCGCAACTCGACTTTAAACATTATCTGCTTCTAAACACGAACAAACACATGTACTAAGGGAGAAAGATTCATGATTTTATTAGTTACATTTTTTCATTGTTTTTTCATACTTATCAAAATTTCTAGCGTTTTTCATTCTCTCGTTCATTCTGTTTTCTATTGATAACACTTTTGTAGTGATTCTGTTTTCTCTAGAAATTACGTAATAGGACATCGAACAGGTAAGTTCATGTGTTATTTGTGTGTAATAATGAGTTAAATTATATTTCGTTTTAGTTTTAATCTCTTTTCCTTAAGTCCATCTACTAGAATTTCTATGGAATGAATTTGAAGCTTTTCTATTTTCGTATCATGCTTCGTCTGTAATTTGCATAGTTTTAATGTTAGTTGTCCAGTTGTGCACCTACAATAATGTCTCAGACAATGTAGCTGCTCGTTTCAGGTTCACGAGGAACACTAGTTCCTGAAGGATTGCGGGTACAGCTTACCAACGATCACTAACTAGCATGAATTATTGATTCAGGGTGTTCTCTCGACTAATTGCGACCATCTAATTGCAAAACATGGGTTTGATTTTGAGTCACTTAATTTAATGGCTGTATAACAACTTCATTCAGAGAACTACATTCATTTGATCATGCACCAACGGATACTTGTGTCCTGCTTGTTTTATCCAGTTTTTAAGGTCATACATATTACACTGCCACAACGTGTATTAAAGCCTAATTTTTGAGCCGAAACACCCACCCAAATCACTCGAATCCATGCTAACATTTCGTTGACATGACATTTTACGTTTCTCAAGCCAGAAAAACATGATAAAACACTCGTTGCTATACAGTATATTTGAAATACCCTGCATTCTTGTCAGAATCAATACACTACAGTGTTTTTTTGCTGAATTCCAGGAAGAATTTAATTTGGATGTGGTAAATCACAAAACTTATTTACAATTTACAGTAGTGCAGATTTTGCACGAACGAGGATATTTCATTGTGTTTACACGTGAAAACCCCTATTTCCGTATTATTATACGTGTCACATTTGCGTTATCCTTTTGTCGACTAATACTTCATTAGAATGGCGAGTTTGAGAAGACTGCAGTAATTTATTTATTAGTTGAATTCATGAGTTTATTTAGGCTGAACCACCATTGAAAATCTGAAAGCAGTAAACAGCTGTTTCGTTCTCGTCTGAGACTCCCCAGCACCGCGCGTTTTGGGGTCGAGCTCTACATATGGGATCGAGGATGCGCGCTACTGAGGATGAAACGGTCATCCAGATTTTAAATGGTGGTCCAGTTTAAACCGACTCATGAATTCAACGATTAAATCTGTCTTAAAATTGTTTCTACGATGTGCTCTTCATAATAATAAAGTAACAAATCGCTTTGTTCTTCACAGAGAACATCATTTATGTTTGTTGCACGAAACCGCTTATTGAGTGTTGAATTCGAGTGAAAGCTAATCGTTTCATAAACACAGCTATTTTTAGAGAAGTTTACAGCGCCTCAGACGTATCCAGTTTTTCTGTCCTAAGTCTTCGGCGTCTGTATTCCTCTGTACCTACCTCTTCATTGTAATTATGAAGCGATCTAATTAATTTCATTATTGGAATCCCGGAAGCACAAGACGATCGCTTCTTCTTTTGACTGGACTCCTCAGCAGTGCTTATACACGACCGCTCACATGGGGTTCGAGACCAGCACATTCAGCCCAGCGCACGCTAACGCATAACACGTAGATCGGTGAGTTTGCATGCACCGATTTTATTGTTTGTCCTCAATCAATCCACGATACTGCACAACAATGTTTTATTATCTTCGGTGATTAATTGCCTCATTTCCCATCAAATCTACATTACAGATTTTTCAAATGTACTTGTCACAACACAGTTTGAATAAATAATTAAATATAAACCATGTTGTTAAAATCGGCCGTGTGACAGTTGACAATATCGTGTTTTCATTTCTCATGGTTCAATCCTGATTTGTTTGTTGACTGGAACCGCACTCCACCGACCTACCAATCTCCAATCCAAGATGCCAGTATTAATGAAAATAGGAAGTATTGGCGTATTGTTTAATGGACAATTTATGTCATGTTAATAAGTGTACGATTCAAAATGAATTGTGATTAGTTGTTTTATATGATTCTAAAACTCATTCATGTTGATGGTATTGGGACGACTCAATTAAAATAAAGGAAGCGAGTCTTAGTTTTTCTTGCTCTTATTACTCAAACGTTTCTAATGAGAACAGAATAACTTTGATTTCTAAATCTTTCCAGCCGAATAGAGCACAGTGTGGACAAATAAATAACTTATTATTCACGGGATCTGGGTTATAATGAGAATTTTAAGATTCTCCGAAATGGAATCTTTGTATCCACCATCCCGGTTAAAGTGCCAAACATTCGATTTGCTTTATCTTAACTTTGTAAACAATACCAACACTATTAATGCTAGAAGTCAGAGACTAGGACTTCCCTGACTATGGTTATATATGCGCGATAATGTGAGAGCATCTCTATATGAAGTACGGATTCTCCTCACTCTTGACCGTACCAGGGCATTTCCGAGCATGTGATATCTATATCTATATATATATCTATCTATCGATCGATCTACCTATATATATATATATATATAAATTAAAAACTCTTACAAAAATATATCGTAATTGCATAAAAAACAACATAACACAAACACGAACTCCCGATATATAGATACTTGTGTCATTTACAATGCAAAACTCAACAGTAGGTATATAATTAATTGTCACTTACACGGATAGTAAAACACATATCATATATAATGGTAAGTGGCTGTGGAATATTCTTCAAAGTTTTGTCTTTCATACTCATCCTGTTGTATCTAATGCTCATCTCCAGTGTTTATGTATCGTTTAAAATGTTCTATTCATTCTTTTCTCTCTGTAAATAAAGATTGCTTTTGGCTGTTAGATGCATTACTTCAATTCTCAACCAGTAGTATGAGACGAGTCCCACGAATTTTAATTGAACAAATGTTTACACCGAATACCGATGTCTGGTTTGATTCTTCACTGACAGCGCCTTTGTGTGCAAAAAGTTTGTTCAATTTACCTTTTCTAATATATGTTTTTTTTCGTATTTGGAAGCAACTGACTTAACGTTTTTGTGTGGGTTGGTTAGCTACTGGACCAACTTTATGAGTAGTTTGGACTGTGATCGAATATTTTGTTGCGTAAATTCTCTATATTTTTTGAAACCCTGCCCTTTATTTCCTATTTGAACACCAATGTAATGTTATTCAACTAATCAAACTGAAGCATATTGAACGGCGTAACCCTTGATTCTTCATTTATCTAGAGTCACACATTCTTATTAGTTAAATACTGTTTGAACTAGATTTTGTTTGTTTGTGTGGTTGTAGAAGCGTGTGGGTGTTTCTCGCTGTCCAGATTCTGGCATTTTGGAAAGATTCTTATAAAGGTGCCTGAAAACAATTAGATTGGAAGAAATCTCATTAACCTGTGAGCATTTGGTAGTAGCACAAAGTGATATTTTTTATGGTTGACCCTCCTTGTTATGCAAAGGCGCTGTATCTCCAAATGTTGGTCAGCTTAGAGAAACATTTTACTGCCGTAACACTACTGTATTCGATACTAGAGATTCACCCGTAAACTTTGTTTTACTGCTCTTAGTATTATAGCTTATCAACTGACCTATCTCATATGACAGAACATGAAAAGAAAAAGTATTTTAGCCGAAATAACAGGATATTTAACTTCATTAAGTAAATTTTACCATCACCTAATTGTTCTCGTTAATAATGAATATATCTTCATTTTAATTCTGCTTCCTTTTGACAAGTGTTAATGTGCTTCTCTGTTTTGATTCTCAATTGAATCTGTATAGTAATGTGATAAAAAAGGAATGGAATTTATCTACGTTGAATACTGGTTATCTACCACTTGAAGCTTATTACTCTTTTAGATCATGTTATATTGCTTCAACAGCTTCCATTTTCATATATAACGATGAATCAAATCAGTAAGTTTGAATTATCTATGTTGTCTCTTTTTAATGGCTATATGGAGTTATCAAGTATATCGATTACTATCAACACACACGTACACACAATGGGTGTTTTTAATATAAATACACCGATTTTGTTATTATTATTATTGGCTTTATTCAATATTATGTTTTTGACAATATGGACTTTAAATCATAAAGTATTTCAACAAGCCTGCTCTCTTATTTTGTGCTCGGACATGACGATAAATACTGAGTGCTGTACAGTTAAGTGTTAGCAGTCCAGCAATCAACATCTGAATAATATTCATTCATTTCAATGCATAATGCCAACCACCACAATATCTCTGATTGTTCCGTTTTGTAAATTATCCAATAAATGGTAATTAACTTCTCATTGATGCGGCTTATTTGAATATATCTAGATGGGAGGAACAGATAGCGGAGATATACTCATGTAGGCCGCCTACAATCACTTTTACCGTATTCTCAAACACTGCAAGTATTTCGAAAAGGATATGATTTTTAACCTTAGATTGTCGAGAACAGAATTTCTCTTTGTTGTTGAGATTTTAATGTGCCTATCTATCAAGTGCATCAATATTGTTTTGAAGAAATAATGCAGATAGTTGACTGGGTTAAAACACTATTAGTTAGAAGTTATTCATTAATTGTGTTCTGTCTTTTGTAATAGAATATGATAAGAGAGAATTGTGTTAACTCTGTTCCAGACATGCTCTATAGTCCTCTTAAACTTGAAATAAATAGACAAGAATATTATAGTCATTTGTTTCACTTAGTTTCTTCGACAATTTTGAAATCATTTCAGTTATACTTCAATAAACAAACTAGATATCCGATTATATAATGAATATTTCTAATTCTTAGCAGTATAAATCGCGTTACTCTTGAAATAAGGCAACAATGTTGACAAGTAACTTTCATCAATAAGTTCTGTTATTCTAATTTTGTAAAATAATTTTCATTAAACCAATTGGACTTAATATAAGATTTTGTAGTTTCCTATGGTTGATATTTTCTCATGATGTCTATCTGCAGATTTTATTGTTCAATATATGTAACTAGCAGTGAATGACAAGAAGCACGTTTCGTCTTATTAACAACTCGTCAACATAGCAGTGGTTTTTCAAAAAAAAGTATTCAGAAAAATATATGCTACAAATAATTCTACTAGTAGTGGTACTAGTAGTAGTAGTAGTAGTTCTGCTGAAATATCACGATTGTCACCTTCAATAGTTCAGAAAGTTAGCCAACAGAACAGATCTAATATACATATATGTGTACATAGATGACAAATGATTGGTTGGTGTGTGAATTGCATATTTCTGTATTGATTGATTACAGTTTTGTGTAGGTCCATCGGTTCAATGTTCCAATAATTTCCTTATATCTTTTTCTTTTTCACAAAAGTATATTAACCTCATCCACATATTATATTTAATCTTAGTTCATTCGTGTATCGCTTTATCTCTTTCACATTTTCATCTGTTTTGTAAATAGAAATGTGTTCTGTACAAATTGATACTTATTTTTCATAGTATTTCGATATATCGTAACATTTATTATTCCACTGAAAACAAAGATATCTCTTGCAAGTATTATGCATTTGTTCAGCGATCAGTTATCATCAGCACAGAGTATGAAAAATATTTGAAATTATTTAGGTAAGATGCTGTGTTATCGATTGTGTAGGTCTGAGTCTCAGATTCGCTGAAATGACGCTATTGCAGTTGATGAAAGTAAGAAAACTGTTTTGGATTAGTTATATATGAGTGGATATAAATAATAATAATATAATTCACGTTACTCTTGAAATAAGGCAACAATGTTGATAAGTACCTTTCATCAATAAGTTCTACAATTCTAACTTTTTAAAATAATTTAGACTTTATATGAGATTTTGTATTTTTCTATTGTTGATATTGTCTCATGACATCTATCTGTGGATTTCATTGTTTAGTATATGTAACCAGCAGTGAATTACAAGATGCACATTTCGTCCTATTAGCGACTCGTCAACTCTTGTATGTATCTGCATCGCAGTGTTTATGTTCACATTGGGACTTAAATATCAACCATGAAAAATTACATAAACTTAATAACCATTTCTTCATACCGTTTTGAACAAGTAATTAGATTAAACGATAACTTATTTCCTGATTGAAATGATAGCTACTTTGTTGCAGTCTAAATGGGAATATTTCTATACATTGAAATTTATGTACATCAATTCGATAAGCCGCTAAATCAGACGAAAATTACTTCTCGCATCACTAGATCTGCTAAACCAGTTAGAACACAGTGGATCTATCTAGGATTTACTGTCATACGAACATTGGATTTGTTTACTGTAATATATTTGACTTACCACAACTTCGTCATTGCAGTTTTAATTTTGACTGTTCAATGTTTAAATAAATAGTAATTTTTCTGTGAAATTTTCCAGATCATTTTATCATCCCCAGCGCTTATTGCTCTATCCAGTTGAATTATATAATCCATCGAAAAAATTATACACTACTCATTATTGTCATTCATTTACTTCAATTCTATCATCTGATAAGAATTCATTGTTAATTAACAAACCGAAATTATTATTACAATCTATTAATGACTTTATACAACTTGATTTGTATATATCTTATAACATAAATTTTATATGCATCACTATACTACTTATAGTAGTTTGCTATTTTTGTAAACATTGTATCATGCATTTCGGTAACAGTGTATTGTGTGTAACTGGATGGATTCTCTGTATGATTCGATATATGTTTGTGCGTATTCTATTTGGTTTGTATAATTTATGGCGTGCATATATCAGTGATTTTTCAAAAAAAGTATTCAGAAAAATATATGCTACAAATAATTCTACTAGTAATAGTAGTAGTAGTTCTGCTGAAATATCACGATTGTCACCTTCAATAGTTCAGAAAGTTAGCCAACACAACAGATCTAATATACATAAATGGTTCAAATGGTTCAAATGGTTGCGGACGGAATAGAAGAAGCTTTCGCTTAACAGGCTTCCGTGTCTAGTAGCAGTGGATCACCAATACCTCCAGGCAAGAACCTAGGTATATTAACGATAAAAGAGAAAGAAAATGAATTGGTAAATCATAGTAGGATACTATCCTTAGTCCTTAAGAACAGATCAAGTCGCCTCTTAAAGGACTCATGGGAAGTTGCTTGGACTAGATCAGCTGGCAGCGAATTCCAGCATTTGACAACTCTTAAGGAGTAGAAGTTGTGTCTGCAGTCCGTTCTACTATGTTGTATCTCCAGTTTCTGGGTGTTACCCCTTAGGTTAGTGTTGGGACTAAGCTTAAGTAGGTGTTTAAGTAGGTGTCCAGGTGTGTTAAGGATACTGTAAGCCATTAGAATGTCACCTCTAAGACGCCTATACTCTAATGGGTAAAGGTCGAGTGATTGGAGGCGCTCATCGTAAGGTTTAAATTTGAGTCCCCGAACTGATTTCGTGGCACGCCGTTGGATACGCTCCAGAGTGTCCTTATCCTTTTGGAGTGTAGGAGGGAATACTATGTTCCCGTACTCCAAATGGGAACGAATGAAACTATTGAAGATTATGTGGAAAGTTCTCCCGTCAAACTGACCAAAAATGCTCTAAAGGCATTTTTGTCACAGTTGGAGTAAGACTTTAGGTCGTAGGGCACCAGAACTCCTAAATCTTTTTCGACTCGGGATACCACTAGAGAGGAGTTTCCTAAGTTGTAACTGTAATCTGCGACGTGTCGCAGATGGACTACTTTACACTTTGAAGTGTTAAAGGTAAGTCCGTTATCGTCTGCCCAACTTTGAAGTCGAGTCAGATCCTCCTGAAGTGCCTGTATGTCCTCTTGGTTGCGTATCTCTCTCCAAAGTTTCACGTCATCGGCAAAGAGCAGTATGTCTGACGTTACCTGTTGAGGAAGATCATTTATTTAAATCAGGAAGAGGAGAGGTCCTAGTACTGAGCCCTGGGGGACCCCACTAGAACATTCCATAGCGCGTGAGAAATTGAAGTTTACCCTGACCTTAAAATGTCGATTTGTGAGGTATGAACTGAGCCAGTCAATTAAAGGTGGTTTGATTCCCAATTGTTTGAGCTTGTTAATAAGACATGTGTGGTTAACCCTATCAAAAGCTTTAGAGAAATCAAGGTAAATAATGTCTACCTTCCCCTTGCGATCAACGATGCTTGTCCATCTGTCCACCGCGGTCAGCAGGTTCGTCATATAGGAATAACCCTTCCTGAAACCATGCTGTTGGGGTGAGAATAAATTTAAGGACAGCAGATAGTCATGTATATCATCGTATACCAGGGACTCCATTATCTTTGAAGGTATAGAGAGAAGGGCCACCGGTCGGTAACTTGAAGGTTCACTGCGTTGACCTCCTTTGAAGATTGGTGTGATATGAGCCAGCTTCCAAATATCCGGTAGTTTGCCCCGACTTAGCGAGTGTGAGAACATCACGCTAAGCGGTGTTGCCAGGATTGAAGCTGCTTCCCTCAGTATAGCAGAGTGGACCATATCTGGACCAGGAGAAGTGTCTGTTCTTAGGTGTTGTAGTTTACGTTACACCAAGTCAGCGCTCAGTTTCACTACGGAAAGTCCTGTGCAGTTGCAGACAGAGCCGACATCAGTATAGTTGATGTGGGTCGGCTGAAATGTCCGGGAGTAGTGCTCAGCCAGAAGGTTAGCGGCGTCAAAGTCATTATCTGTCGGGCCGTTAGGACCTAGCAGTTGAGAAACTCCAGTTTTGGCTTGACGAAGAGAGGCTGCATAACAGAATAAGCTTTTCGGATTGGAAATAAATCTATCCATAAGCTTTAACTGGTACTGAAGCCTGTCTTCTCTTATAGCCTTCGTACATATGTTCCTTATATGTTTGTATTGCCTGTACTCGCTGTTGTTGTTGGTTCGTTTGTATTCTGCCCAACAGTGTCTTTTACGGCTTAGCAAACGAGGAGTGCGTTTTTTGATGATTGTAGGTTGCTTGTGCCTTTTGAGGACCGTTTGAGGAACTGACTGCTTAGTAGCACATGAGAGCGTACGCAGTAAGGAGTCCCAATGAGCATCCACATCCAATTGAGGGTGAACATCCCAATCCACCTGTTGTAGATAATCCTGTAGAGCTGACGCATTCAACCGTTTGAAGTTCCAGTGCCTGTTGTTGTCGGGATATCTTAGCTCTGCTTTGCTGACGAAACTGAAGGCTATAACGGCGTGATCGCTTTTCCCCAGGGGAGCCAGAATTGAGAGGTTGTCGAATAGAAATTCTTCATTTGTAAAAACACAGTCTAAGCGCGACGGTGTCTGACCGTTCCGCCAACGAGTGTGCGACTTCACATTTTAATGTAGTCCCAAGTCCTCAGTGAGGTTGAAGAACCGAGCTTTGATTGAATTTTCACCTTCAGTATACGTATGTTCCGCGAAGTTGACTCTAGGAAGCTTGAAGTCCCCTAGGATCAGGATATGAGTGAAGCCGAGACGCGTAGAGCGGGATAGTCCCTCCAGCATGCGACTGTCATACTCGATGTCGGCAGTGGGCTTCCTATATATGACTCCGACTAGGCACCTCGGAGTAGCGGACAATCTCATAGAGCACCATATGGATTCCTCAAGATTGTCAAACTCGTGGTTGTGGATTTGATGTACCACCAGGCCAGATCTTATGTATAGGGCTACTCCACCCTCAATTCCTGTTTTTCTGTCATTGCTAAACAGAGACATCCCAGGTATTGCTAGCTCCTGGTCCGAATACTGAGGAGATATCCAAGTTTCAGATATTCCTATCAGATGAACTTTATCAGCGTTGCTAAGTTCACTTAGTTCATCCATTTTATTTTGTAGACTCGCCGCGTTCATGTATAAGCAGTTAATGCTTTCAATTTGAAACGCATGAGCTTCTTCCTGTTTATCTGTGAGAGCCTTGCGTGAGTGGACACGTAACCCACCTATATAAGTTTTGTCAAATTGGTAGGCCCTGTCCTTTACACGTTTTTTTTGTCTTGAAGACAGTCCACAAGTGGAATGGTCAGTTCCAGCTTGCCTTTGTGCTTGATCCTGGCGTCGTATGGCCTATCCGGGTGCATATGGATCTCAGTTGGCAACCGACGTCTGTTGACACGAAATGCTTCCAGAGTTGCAGCCGCCATATGGGAGGATGGAAAAGTTATCCTCATTAGTCGGGATCTAGGATCCCCATCCTTCTTGGCTAGTCTCATCACATGCTGAGACAGTATGTTTTTAAGCCTCAAGGACTGTTTGATGAATTTCCATTCCCGAATGTCAGAGTTTGCTTGAGTAGGGTCCATGTTTTCCGGTACACCTTGCACGATGATATTTCTTCCGCGGAAAAACTTCTCTCGAGAATCTTTAGGGACGTTTCGGATGAGATTGCGCTCAGAATATGGTATGTCAGGCAGTATTCTGACGTTCCCATCGGATTTCAGTAGATGACTGGCTAGCAGGACATCCTCTACTTCGGTAGCATTCTTGAGTGTTACACGGAGTAGTCTCGGGTGATTTTGATGTTTAGAATCCTTTCCCCGAGTGAGCCGTGTGACCGTCGAAGGCTCTACTCTAGGGAGTTCGAGCTTTTTATTCAGTTCACTCCAAAGCATCCTGTCATTTTTGTCCTGCAAACTGAGAGGAAGGTCAGGATTGTCTATGAGGTTCATGATTATGAGGGAGTCATCACGGACCGTTGTTGTTTTCCCAGCTCTTCCAGTGCGTTCAGGTTCAGTACGTTGTTGTTTGGAGGTCGAAGCAGGTTTTTGAATCGTAGGCTTTTTAATAACCGGGCGTACATTTTTGGGGGTAGACTGAGCGATCAAAGCACCAGTTGATGTCCGTACAACACTTGGGATGTCAACCTTGGACGGTGACACCTGGTCCTTATTAGCTCTGTTGGCGTGGGTACAGTCACCTGCAGAGTTTTTAGGAACCACTGTTGCGTTTGAGGACCCTGAACTGGGAGATCCAATTTTAGTGAGGGAATCAAATATTGTCGACGTAATGGTGCTGAGTTTCAACATGTCATCATTAGTGCTAATGCGCGTTCCATCGATGGTTGACTTGTCAACATCCCTGTTCATATTTTCGTTACGCGCACTCGTTTGCCTACCTATTTTATGGCTATTTGTTTCCAAGTTTACTGACAATTTATTCCGCAGACCTGTCAGTAGAACAATGATATTGCTCAGCAGCACTACAGCGTCCGTGTTGCACGTAACGCACACCCACTTACGGTCCGATTTGCTGAGTCTCTTGTAAGCCGTTGCCGTAAGATCTGTGCACGTTTCGTGAAACTAACCTTTGCAGTTGTCACACTGCATGCCAGATGTAACAGCGAAACGGCATCCAGGTGTACATAGATGTGTACATAGATGACAAATGATTGGTTGGTGTGTGAATTGCATATTTCTGTATTGATTGATTACAGTTTTGTGTAGGTCCATCGGTTCAATGTTCCAATAATTTCCTTATATCTTTTTCTTTTTCACAAAAGTATATTAACCTCATCCACATATTATATTTAATCTTAGTTCATTCGTGTATCGCTTTATCTCTTTCACATTTTCATCTGTTTTGTAAATAGAAATGTGTTCTGTACAAATTGATACTTATTTTTCATAGTATTTCGATATATCGTAACATTTATTATTCCACTGAAAACAAAGATATCTCTTGCAAGTATTATGCATTTGTTCAGCGATCAGTTATCATCAGCACAGAGTATGAAAAATATTTGAAATTATTTAGGTAAGATGCTGTGTTATCGATTGTGTAGGTCTGAGTCTCAGATTCGCTGAAATGACGCTATTGCAGTTGATGAAAGTAAGAAAACTGTTTTGGATTAGTTATATATGAGTGGATATAAATAATAAATGGTTCCACATCAAATAATCATAAGCTCAAGTTGAAAAAAGTCTCAAATCCAAAACGGTAAGCACTATAATTTACTAGCCATAACAGAAATTCATTTAGACCTAATAAGC